TCAAGAAGGTACGTTACCCAATTAGCATACTGTGTATAGGATTTATCTGACGAGACAAACTATGGGTCAACAGTTCTTGAAGTCGATTGCTTTGTGAAACACGATCTAGAAGGAGATTCGAGGACTAATGAAAAGGATGGTGATGAAATGTGTCCCAAAACAGATCGAATAAAACAATCTTCCTGTGATTATCAAGAACAGCTATATCATGTTCCAGATTTTAATTCTACAAGGATTACATTAATAGTTTTTGTTCTATTACGGATCCGCCACGACTCACAGCCACGTATTCTGTATTGAAAGGGTGGGGTGTGGATGTGGTGTGCTGGTGTCGGATGTGGGTGAGTGTGGATGTGTGATGGGCTGTCGGTGTGGATGAGTCAAGCGAAGACTCAAACTCACACCTACACCCATACCCTCACCCACATCCACCCACACCCGCACCTACACTCACACCCAAAAATTCAGATCAAAACTATTTGTTTGGAATATTTCGAAAACATGTTTCTGCCCAAAATACGTTCACTAAAACAATCATGAAGTTTAACATTTTCAAGTTTAACTTAACCTTATTGAGATCTATCCATGATCATATCATCAGAGCGAATAGTCAGCCTCCAGCAATTTCATATTTTCTTGTTGGATTCTTATAATTGAGTCATTTGCTTGGAATAAAAAGAAAAACTAAGCAAACACTAATAATCAAGAGTAATCTAAATATTTATTTCACATTATTGAATTCTTTACTTTCATTAACAAGAAAAAAAAACGATAGACAAACATCAATAAAAACAATTTTAAGATTTTCTATTATTTTGATTATGTTGATGAAATTAATGGAGTCAAAACAATATCATTTTCTATTCGATTTTTTTTGAAATCATCAACTAATTTTTCTGCCAATGACTTAGAAATCTTATGACTAAGTCGTAAATGATATGCTAATTTATGAAACGTAATAGAACGATATTGACATGGTGAAATGATAACATTTTGCCCATTATGTTTTAATGAATTAACTTGTCCATGAGAAAAAGGACATGAAACTTTATAAAAATGATTAATTACATCTTCATTTTCATCAAATAATTTTGTCATTCTAGAATCTTTATGATCGGCAATAGCTTGTATCAAACGTTGAGCATAAACTTTTTTCAATTGATGCGTATAAATGAAGTGGTAGTATAATTCGATTCGACGAGTTGTTCCATGTTCACAAAATTCAATAGAATGATTTGCTTTCGTAAGACCATATGCTCCATCAAATGTTAATGGACATTTAGCATAAAGTTTTCTGAATGATTTTCGTTTACGTTTCGTCGTTTCTTCATTTATATGTTCATCCTGAAAAAAAAACATTATGAATGTTTAAATAATATATAGAATTCATTTCATAACTATTGTACAACCGAATTTACAATCAGAATCTTATATAATAGTTACTAAAATATAAAAAATAGAATAAGATCACAAAGGATGATATTTACGTAAACCGATTTCATATAATATTTGATCGAAAAGAGGACTTTACCATAAGGTGAAATTTTTAAACTGAAAAAATTCTTTAATTTATATTAAAAGAAACTAATTTCAATAGTAAAATTAAATTCTAGTTAATTATCTTGAAGAATAGTTTTCGTAAAAGTTCATTAATTTCCAGATTCTAAAATAACCTCTTACTATCAAAACGCTAAGATAAGTTCGAGTAAATAGATCGAATTTTAATTTTTATATTTATATTCAGAACATCTTTATTCTTGTTTTCTTTTAACAATATCCATTAAAAAAACAAATTATATTTACCTGAATAGATTCGTCTGTGTCACTAAAAGAAAAACATTGCAATCGGTTTTCTAATCGTTTTGTTTTAACAAAAAAAAAAACTTACTCAAGTGTAATAGTCTCAATAAAATCATGATTGATATTCGTTGAATATTCATTGTCTTAAATCAATTATGTTTTTCTTTTTCCTTTTGAAATTCAAGAAAATATCATTTACCTTTTGAGATTTCCGACTCTTCTGCTACATCTAAACATACACAAAAACAAAATTATATTTTGAAGAAATTATTTTTTATCTTACAAGGAAACTACATGAATTGATCTCCCATAATTATTAGATCAATAATATTCATCAAGATATCAGATTTGTATTAAATAGCTACTGGTTAAAATCAAATTTACTAGAAAATTTTGATCTAAAACTTTCAGACTATTTTACTGTGTCATCTTTCTAGTCTCAATACGATTTCAAATAGTGATTAATAAGTTCTGATAGTTCCTTTATTACAACGCATTATCTTACCATTTATGTTTTCCTTATTAAATTCACAAACAGAAGAAAAACGATGTGTAGTTTCTGATAATAATGGTTCGATTTTCACCATGCTTTCTATTTAACAAACAAAAGTTTGCAAAAAAATCTATTTTCTAATTTCGTTTTTACCTGAACGATTTAATGTTATTGTTTGATTAATTTTTTCGAAAATATCTTCTAATTCATCTATTGAACTATTGGATATATCAAGAATTTTTTTTGCTTGTTCAATTAAATTGTGTTCACATTTAATAGTTGATAATTTTTCATCAATAATTAATTGTAGTGTATTGACGATTGTATTTAATTCTTTACAAAGCCTATCTGTTCGATGTTTATTTTGTTTTGTTATTTCAACATGTCCATTCAAATGATATAAACAAACAAGACGTAAACAACAATGACATTCATATAATTCTTTTAGTTCATCATCACATGTTATATCAGTACATGAACCTATTTGAGGCATTTCTGAAAAAATAAAAATAAAACACAGAAATAAGAATGTTTATATCTCCAGTATTCGTTGAGAAAATGATAGTTATCACTGTAGACAAAAATGTTTAAAATAATTGACGGACCAACAAACATATGCATAGAAAAGAAAAAGAAAGAATTCAATACGTAATCTGACCGTTCTTTGTTTTATCGAATAAAATTGTTCGACTATGAGCCAACAGATATGGATGATGAGTCATCATATGATTTCTCTAACGAAATTCATTAATGGAAGATTAGGTTAAAGATTGTAGAATTTTAGTCTAGTGAGAAGCTATTTCCAATAGATACGACCTCTAACATAAATATGATACTAATTTTGATTTTTTTTGTCTAAAAAATTTAATTGTATTTAATATTTTCAACGAAGAATCAAATATTCCTCTATTACGTTGTAATATAAGAATAGAATATGCCTAGAGAAAAGAGCAGTGAAAGAGAAAAAGAACCAACAATGAATGCTTGTTTTTTTTTTT